AAGTTGTTTAGAACCCCCATGAAAGACACTCTTTTCATGCACAGCCTAGTGATCAATGGGGGACATGGGCACAACCAAGAGCTTCATCATATGAGCCAAGTACCCATGTACCATCAGCTTGGGAACCAACTCCCACTCCCTGTGAAGTTCAGGAGACATGGCAATGGGGTCAACAAAGGAACTCTTCTCAAGCAGAGCAGTTATGGTCAAGTTGGGTTCAACCACCTCAAGAAGCAGAGCATTCTACCAAGGTTTATGAGAGGAGAAACAAGAGGAGAGCTAGCAAGTCTCCTCAGACCTCTGGATCATCCCACCACTCCTACCACTAAGCAAGTACCACATCCTCTCCATTGTTTATACCATTGCATCTTTTTCAGTTTTGTATTATATTGTGTGCTTCTCTCTCTCATTGTTTTCATTACACAAGAGACTGTGTAATTTAAGTGTGGGGGAGAGATTTGGGGTTTGAATTTGTGTTTTGTTTTCTTAGTTTTTCTTTTTCTTTCACTTTGAGTCTCATGCATATCATGCATTAATGTAAGGCATAGAAAAACACAAAAAATCAAAATTTTGAAATTTTTTGCATTTTTGCAAACCAAAAAGAAAGCATGTAGTTGCATTTCATTCTTCTAGGATTGAGTCTAGTGTTGACATATAGGTTGCATTGCATTTGCATAGGGCATTATGATGCATTTTCCTTGTAAAGTGCTTAGAGTTTAGAGATGATTTCAGTGTTTAAGTGGCTAGTTGTTTGATACATCATATGATTGCTAAAAGTTAAGGCTGAACCATGCTTAGATTACTAGATGTGGTCTTCTCATCTCATTCTGAAAGCACTTGTTCTTTGAAAATCAACTTTATCAACTTGAACTTTAATTTGGACTTTTAATTATCATGTCTTATGCATTGAAAAGTGAATTCATGGCTACCATATACATATTTGGATCATTTTTTTCCTTTTATACCACTCTTGTTGATCCAAGTAGCTGATCCTCATACTTATGGGACAGTTAATCCATACCCTTAACCGAAACCTCCTTTTGAGTCTAAACACTATTGTGAGAGCTGTGTGGCCTTTGCATTGTATTTTCGATTTTGTCTTGGCAAAAAGTGTTAGGAATAAAGCTGGCAATGATTAGCTCTCTTGTAGATATCAGTATCAGCTTGCATCTTGAGCTTGATTCTAGGATAGGAGTTTTGGTTTAACAGGGTAGTGCAAGTGGTTTGAACTTCATGTATATATGTTTTGAAAGAAAGGGAAAAGATTTGAAATGGTAGAAAAGGGGAAACAGTCTAGAATTGTGGTTAAGTAGAAGGAAGAAAAGGCTCGAAGTACAAAGAAGAAAGGCGCCAGCAACAAAGCTCAGAAAGGTACAAAGAAGAAAAATCAGACCAGGAGCAATCCACCAAAGGTGATGACGGTGCCAATAGAACAAAGAAGAGCAAGTCCCAACCAAAAGGAAGCAGCCACACAAGCAAAGAGAAGAAGTTTCCCCAGCAATGAAGAAGGGTAAATGGTAGAGTTTAGGAAAGGGTAGACTTAGGGATTCACTTTTGGGTTTAGAAATGCTTAGGATTCATCTTCGGGTAGAAGGGAGCTTTGATTTGCATGCATAAGTGTGCTTTTACCTTTAGCATTTTGCCTAAGATGAAATCATTTTCATTGAGTGATCCTTTATGTTTATTAACCCTTTGCTAAAATGAGATCATTCTTATCTCATGACCTTACCCTTTTCAACCAAATGTCTTCACTTAATTTGCATAAGCATGATTCATGGTTCTGATCTTAATTGAATGTTAAAGAGTTAGTTGATTTGAGCATTTGCCTAAGTTGAGATTTGAGATCATTTTGAAACATGATGAGCATGGCTAGGTTCTTTAAAGTATAGCTGATTATGTTTGTATCCTACAATTAGGCACTTAAGCATTGATATCATCCCTTTACCTTTGCACTTTTGGAATCTGAATGTCCACCTTCAAACCTCACTCTCTCATTTGTTCTTATTTGCTTGAGGACAAGCAAAAGACAAGTGTGGGGGTGTTGATATCTCTTGTATTTACACCATTTAGGCCTGCATTTAGTACATGTTTTGGTTCTTTTTTGCATGTTTTCCTTAGTTTTTGTCCCATTTTCTTCTCCTTTTAGACTTAGGTTGCATTTAGGATATATTTTGTATTTTTCTTGCATTTTGGATGTTTTAGGTGCTTATGGAGCTAAAAGGAGCTTGGATGAGCTTTGAGGATGATCCACGAAGCTAGCTGGACCAAAGGGAGCAAAAGGGATCAAAGCAGACAATCTCTGCAGAGCTTTTCGGTCAGAGCACGGAGAACATCGATCAAGGGGTGATCGATGTAAGATTTTTGGTCAGGAGCATTGATCAAGAGGTGACCGATACGAGCACATCGATCATCAGCATCGATCAGGAGTGGTCGGTACAAACGCCCCGAGTTAATTTTGGTCACCACATTGATCACTGCCCAGGCCGATGTAACTCTACATCGATCAACCCTGACTGTTGTAACTGATCGATGTAAACCCAGTCCAAACCTGTTTTATTTACATTTCTGCCATTACTCTAGGGCTTCTTTTCTTAGGCTATAAATAGCCTCTTTTTCTAGATTTTCGACAAGTCTTGTCAAATTACTGTTCTTAAGCATTTTCTTTAAGTTTGTAAGACAAATATTTTGCTTTGTTTAATATAATTAAGCATTTGCCTTTAATCTTCCTTTATTCTCTCTTCTAATCATGATTAACATCATTTTTCTTTGTGATTTGGTGTTAAACATGGCTTTGAGTGAGTAGTTTGCTTAGAGTTTCTAGATGTGGTAGATTAGGAGAATTTAGGACGTGATTAAGGCTTGTTTAGTGCTTCAGTTTATGGGTTCCTCTCTATTAATCTGTTCTTAATGCTAGATTTGTCTTGATCACACTTATCTAGGTTGTTAGCTTTCTCTCATGCCCACCAAGTGTTTGATGAAATGCTGATCTTGTTTAATAGAGGATTTGCTGGCCTTGGCTCAAGAGATTGACTGTTTGAGGAGTATTTTAACTTGAATAGAGTTGTTACCTAATGCTTGCTTAATGTTTTAGCATTATTGAGAGTTAGTTCTTGTTAAGATGTTTAGCAAAGGGCTATTTTACAAGAGATTGGATATAGCTTGCTTGATTGTGAACTCTATGTCTAGGAATCATCATTGCTTGCTTGATTGCTTGATCAATGTAGTTTGAAACAGCCTTAGTTAGTCTATGAATTCCCCAAAGTCAATAACCACATCTAAGAACTTGATTTTCTTTTATTTGAATCTCGGATTTCCCTTGTTTTGCTCTGTTTTGCTTGCTTCGTTTTGCTTAGTTTGCTTTTATCTTTACTCTCTTTGCTGCTTGATCATATTAGGATATTAGATTGGTTGCTTTGGCAACAAAAACACTTTTATGCTTGCTTGACTTAGAGATTTTTACTCTTAACTCTTCTGTTTTCAACTAAACCCCATTTGGATTGATAAAAACCCTATGCTATACTACAACTGACTAGTACAAGCTTGGGTGATTGAATCAAGACCTCAAAAATCTTTGTCAATATCTTCAGCTCCTTGCTTCTATTTAGGCCAGCCTCCACATTTTCCAGAATTGGCTCCACTATTTCCAGCTTGTCAAAGACTTCTTTGAGGAACCTGATCTGATCCTTCACTTCAAGTAAGGTGGTTCCATGGGGAAACTTTATTCCAGCATCTTGTATGTCTTTCCTGAACTTTGTGTAGGCCTCCATCCTAGCATTTATAAAGTGCATTGTGGGGTAAGTGATTTGTGGTTTGTAAGCTTGAACTTCAGGAGCTTTACCCTTCTCATTGCTCCTTGAGGAGCTGCCCACTTGGCGATCATATAGCTCCCTGCAGTCTTCATGACTTTCACTAGCCAAGACCATCAAAGCATGGTGTTTCTCTACAAGTTCTTTGTCAGCTTCACTGAGCTCTGGTTTGGCTTCTTCTTCTGGAGCCACTAAAGCTTTCTCAGCCTCTTCCTTCTCAGAAGCTTCTTGTGCTGCTCTTTCTTGCTCCTCTTCTCTGTTCAAGCTGTCATCTAGTCCTTTGAGGAACTTGTCTATAGTATATGTAGCTTCTTGATCATTAATGTTGGCATGGGTAACCTCCCCCCCCCCCATACTCAGCCCTTAACATGTCCACATGTAACATCAACTCTTGAAGCATAATGCCAATCTCTTCCAATGAAGCATCTTCATCAGTAAATTCTTCATCCTCTTCAGTAAGTAAGTGGCAGAATTCCTGAGGATTAATGTAACACCCGTTCCCGTGACTTTCATGTCCTAGGTCTCGCGCCCTAACTTTCACCACAAGAAACACACCTGCATACACTGAAGAGGGGGAAAAGGAGGGGGTAAGTAACAAAGTCGCTTAGTGAGATTGGTCATGTCCACCCACACGATTCACAACACCACTATTTAACAATACACGCAATACTAACTCTAGAGAAAACAAACATCAACAAGTATTTCTAACCATATCACAAGTCAACACAAATCACATGACACTCGGCTGGTCGGCACCTCGAAAGGTCTTCACCACCATTAACTCAACATAAAATATCATGACACTGGGCTGGTCAGGCACCTCGAAAGGTCTTCCACCACCCTTTGGCTCGTTAGCCGGTTAACGGGCTTTAATGGGATGGTCATGTCCTCGTTCTCAGTCTGACTGCACTGAAGTAGAAACTTAAACGAGATCGCCATGTTCTCGCTCTCAGTCCAACTTCACCAAAGTACAGACTTAAACGGGATCGTCATGTCCTCGCTCTCAGTCCGACTTTATAATTCACATATATTTAACATTTCATATTATTTAATATATCCTCATCTTATATGCATAAACAACTAATATCATCAATCTTTCACATTACCACAATCAACAAAAAAAATTCTAGACCTAGCATTTTCGGATATTAATTAAGTAGAAGCCTTAAGAATCCACGGATCCCATCCTCACCTTTGATTTTCGGTTGAACTGATGGGAATGGCACACGGCAAAAGTGATCTCAACTTAACAACGTTTACTTGGGCCTGAAGCAACCATTGGAGACAATAGCCCACATGTTACGTTTATGCATTCCCATAATATGGTTAACGTGACAACAACAGAAGAGATCTTGCTTACCAAATGAATGCTAAACACCACACACCAATCGTAAACAACAATGGAGAAGAGAAAGCTTGCGGCTGAAGCAACACAAGAGACGATAACTTAACAAGTCACGATCACATGAACTCTCGAAAACGGATGACATGAAGGAAGGCATAGCTTTTGCTGACCACGGACAATGACATAGTAACACCAACAACAGAAAATAAGCAGAGCGGACGAAGCTTGGAGCTTAAGTAACTACAACAATGGCATATCACTAATTCAGCATTCTCGGGAAAAATAGGTGCAACGGAGGTGATGGAATAAACTCGAAAGAAACTCGGATCTCTTACCACAGAAATGATTCCCGGACGATGGCAATAACTTGGAGCAGCAGATCGCCGGTGACGATGAACGGCGGCAACGTGATCGAGAACACGGCGGCTCGGTGTTGACTCACGTATGCTTCTCCTCATGCTTATGGAAACAGATGCAGGAGCTTCGGCTTGGTCAGAGACAGTGGCAGCAGCTCTGGTGTGATCTAGGTAGCGGTTCGGCGTGATTTTCGGGGTCTGGGACTCGTCACGTCTCGTTGCGGCTTTCTGAAGATGGAGAAGAAGGTGGTGAAAGAGAAGAGTTTAGGTTTGATTTTGCTTGGGCCAAAATCTGGAGTTGGGCCTTTCCCAATTTAGGTGGGCTTGGGTCGGATTCGTTACAATTCTCCCCCGTTTTAAAAGAATTCATACCTGAATTCGATCCATTTCTCGTAAGTCCGCTCTTGTCCTTAAAGAGCTCGGGATAGTTAACTAGCGTTTCTTATTCCGGTTCCCAAGTCTCCTTCCGAATACCATCTCTTTCCCAATAGACTTTTACTGACTCAACTGTTTTACTCTGAACTTTGGTTTCTTGTCGATTTTTGAATTGCAACCGGACTGCTTTGTAATGAAAAAAAAAAAGGAGGGGGTGAGTAACAAAGTCGCTCAGTGAGGTTGGTCATGTCCGCCCACATGATTCACAACACCACTATTTAACAATACATGCAAATACTAACTCTAGAGAAAACAAACATCAACAAGTATTTCTAACCATATCACAACTCAACACAAATCACATGACACTCGGCTGGTCGGCACCTCTAAAGGTCTTCACCACCATTAACTCAACATAAAATATCATGACACTGGGCTGGTCGGGCACCTCGAAAGGTCTTCCACCATCCTTTGGCTCGTCATCCGGTTAACGGGCTTTAATGGGATCGTCATGTCCTCATTCTCAGTCCGACTGCACTGAAGTACAGACTTAAACGGGATCGCCATGTCCTCGTTTACATGCTTCAGGGAGAGTACCTTGGGAGTATGGTGCTGGTGCAACTCCTCTGTTGTCTTCTAAGATCTGCATCCTTGAATCCCAATCATCAAGCTTGGTAAGCTCATCATGAACAAAGTCTAATTTGCTATACAACTCAGCAAATCCCTGGTTTATCTCCAATGTTTCAAGGAGTTGTAAGTTGAGGAGTTGAGTGAGCATGCTCTTGGTATCAGCTGCACCAGAGGTAGAGGCATTATATTGACCTTGAGGGAGAGCAGGAGTGGGTGCAAACTGTGGGTGGGTATTGTAGCTGTCTGCAAAGTAGTCCATAGGCAGAAGCTCTTGGTGGAAGTTGTTGCACATGGAAGTTTCAAAACATGGCATCTTCTCTGCTTGTAGAGATGTACCTGAAAGGAAAATTCTTGAAAAGGAGTGAGTAACCAAATTAAACTAAAAACTTGATCTTAAAGACTCTACAAACTCTAATGATTCAAACGGAAAACCCAATTGGCAAGAGCGCCAAATTGATAGAAGAGGTTTTAACTCTTTCTCAATCACCCCTCTATGTGAATCAGTTGTAGTATAGCAAGAGTTTTATGTCAATCCAAATGGGTTTTGTTGAAAGCAAAAGAGTTGTGAGTAAGAATCCTTAAGTCAAGCAAATCAAAGAGAGCTTTTGTTGCCTAAGCAACTTATCTAACAACCTAGAATGATCAATAACCAAAGAGAATTCAAAAGAAGCAATCTAGCAATGATCAAAAGAGCAGAACAGAAAAAATAAATAGAGTACTAAAGCAAATTCGAAATTCAATAAAAGAGAAAGAAAGTTCATAGATGTGGTTATTGACTTTGGGGAATTCAGAGACTAACTAAGGTTGTTTCAAACAGCATTGATCGAGCAAACAAGCTAGCAATGGTGGTTCCTAGATATAGAGTTCACAAACAAGCAAGCTAAGTCCAATCTCTTGTAAAATAGCCATTTGATAAACACCTTAACAAGAACTAACTCTCATTAGTGCTAAAACATTCAGCAAGCAATAACAATCAACTCTATTCATGTCAAAATGCTCCTCAAACAGTCAATCTGTTGAGCCAAGGCCAGCAATTCCTCTATTAAACAAGATCAGCATTTCATCAAACATTTGGTTGGCATAAGAGAAAGCCTAAATTCTAGATAAGTGTGATCAAGACAAACCTAGCTTAAAAACAGATTAATAGAGAGAAACCCATCAAATTAAATACTAAATAAACCTTAATCAATCCCTAAATCCCCTTAATCTACCACATCTAAGAACCTTAAGCAAACTACTCACTAATACTCATGTTTAACACCAAATCACAAGAGGAAAAGATGTTAATCATGATTAAAAAAGAGATTAGAGAAAGATTAATGGCAAATACAAACTTATATTAAATAAAGCAAGAAATCTGTCTTACAAACCCAGAAAAATATCTCAAGAACAGTGTTAAGAGATGACTTGTCGAAAATCCCAGAAAAAGGGTATTTATACATAAAAGAAGGAAGTCCTAAAGTAATGGCAAAAGTATAATAAAAGACAGGCTCGGATAGGGTGACCGATAGAGTGATCGATATGGATCCTATCGGTCTAGAAGATGACCGATAGGGTGACCAAAATATTCACGGTGCACTTCTATCGGTCACTTCTCTGACCGATAGGCCTGGTCGATAGGGATCCTATCGGTCACTCCTTCACCGATAGGCCTTGTGCCTTGATCGATTAGCTCAGCAGAGATCGTCTGCCCTGGTCCCTTTTTCTCCTCTTGGCCCAGCTACCTTCCTGGATCATCCCTAAAGCTCCTCCAATGCTCCTCTTAGCTCCATAGGTACCTAAAAACATCCATAATGCATAGAAAATGCAAACAAAATCCTAGATGAAACCTAAGTCTAAAAGGAGAAGAAAATGGGACAAAAAATAAGGAAAACATGAAAAAGAGAACCAAAACATGAACTAAATGCAAGACTAAATGGTGTAAATACAAGAGATATCATAGGCCCGCAGCTCGCAGAATTTCTACATTTTTCGCATAGTTGGCCCATGTAGACCGCTTCCTTCGTGAAACGCTCGCCGGTGATCCCCCCTCCTTCTAGCCCCAACTGTTTATGAGCAAATTTCGGGATACCACGTGGGGCTGTATGATTCGTCTGGAGAGTAGAGCTGTGCCTCAGAGTTTCGTCCTCTGGGGGAAAGGCCATGAGTTGTTCCGGGGTGGAAGCCTGGTTGGGTCCTGGTAACGGGGAGGTCGGCATGAACGATCCTGCAAACACTAGGCAAAAGGTCAATTGGGCCTCCGGGAAGACTGAAAGGAGGTTTCCCTCCCGAGGTTCTCTGACGCCCAAGTCAATGAACGTCCTACCAGGCTCGAATACTCAGGAGGGTGTTTCTACGAGTTTAGGGTGAGAAGTCTCGTTCGGGGATCGAGAAATATGTCTGTTTACAGGTGTTTTGAGAGATATTCTACACGGAAAAGAGAAGGCGCATCAAGTATAAAGGCAGGGTTCCAGGTCGAGAGAGACTTATTGATACAGCGCATCGTACATATTTAGACCTTTGACGACAAACACATCCAATGGGCTTAACGTGTTTGTCCAACAAATAGTTACTTAGAATTAATTGATAGATTTAACTTGATGTAAAGATAATATCAAATATTAGTAGATTAGGATTATGAGATATGATTACGATCTCATTACTCTTGTATAAATAGGATCCTCTATAGTTTGTAAAGAAAAACATTGATTTTGAATAAACTAAGCTTTCTAGCTAAACGAGCTTTCATTGCACGGAAAGAGTATTTCCATACGAGCTTTCATAAGCACAGAGAATAGTATTCCCAACCCTAAGATTTAAATGTAGTTCTTCTACGATTATTTCAACCCGATTATACATGAATCCTTTGGATATCTCGTGTGTCTTTGTTTATAGCTTTCGTCTCTCCATCAGTTGGTATCAAAGACAAACGATTCTGTCAATTGATTCCACAATAATCATGTCATCGAAGCATATCTACACCCTTAAAGCCAAGGAAAGTGGTGTTGATGAATGGGCAGAACTTCGTCAGACTCTCTTTGCGATGCAGAAGAATTTCCTAACTACAATTCATAAATCAGAGGAGAATGTGGTCCAAGACCAGTTTTTGCATCGTTCTGAACCGGAGGATGGTTTTGATCATCATGAGAACAACGACAACAAACCCGTGTATGATGTTTATGGAGATGAATTTTTTTTACCTACTATGGAACCTAGCTACGATGATTTAAATCCAGTCTTTGATGCTTGTGATGTTACAGATCCAATATTTGATAGGTACGATGAGGAAGAACACTTCCATAATGTTGTTTCCAACGCCAGATCATCGATTCTAGGTTTTGAATATTGGCCAGAAGAAGATCAAGTCTTCAATGTCAAGGATGATGAAGATTCGACTGATGATGACTTATTCTGCAAGACTGAAATCAATATCACCGAAAATCAAAAGGTGAAAGATATAACACTTAAATAACGTGTTCAGTTGAACGAGCCTCAAGATCTGGATCGAAGCAAAATTTTGTTTTATCGCAGTGATGAAGATTTCTCCAACGAAGCCCATGGTACAATGGTTTTTGACAGCTATGGTTACAAAGATCGTGACGAGTTTCTCTTTCGTGATGATGATTCGAGCTTGTCATGGAAAGATCTACATTGCTATGTGGATCCAGTTGTTGTTATCTATGATGCATATGTAGAGCCACCCGATCGTGGTCGACAGGATAATTGGGATTCTCAAAATTTTCAAAAAGATGGAATAACAAGAGAAGATGTACGCTACATGACAGAGCAAAGGAATGCATATGCCCTTGTGTATAGTTCATCAATGGAGTTTATGAATTGGTCTTCTAGACAAGAAAAGTCGCTAACAATTCCATCTTCTCTACGATTTGGAATGTATGTTGAGTAGGTATATACCATAGGGCCCATTGACATATTCTTAACCGTTTACACTTTTGGTTCATCAAAGAGATATATGGTAGATTTTTGTCTTGGAAGTGTCATAATTATGATGACCTTATATCGTGAGTTCATGAGCAGTAATTACAGGCGTATACTTCTCAATATTATTTATTTAATCATCTATTTTGTATAATCAAAAAAGTTTTAAAAGAAAATTGATAGCATAATAATAAAGATGAAACAAAATTTTATAAAATAAAAGATATATACATGATAAAATATACTATATAATAAATTTATGAAAATACGGATTAGAACGGATATCCTACGTTGTTTAAAAATATATTTGTGATTTGCTCCGTTTTGTACGGATACTATATTTTACTATTAGCTTTGCTTCGAAACTTTATGAATATCCGGATTTTTTTGAAGCGAAT